ATAGAAATATAATTCCCTTAATATTTCAAGTCCTAGATATCCTAGAGAGAGATGGAGAGAGACATAGTATTCCAGTCACTTTGCTCCTTCCATTGGCTTGTTTGTTCCACTTGTGTGACCCACTTAGTGTCATTCACTTTGCCATTAATACTGTTACATTCTCCCCTCCTTAAAAAGTCATTGTCCTCAATGACCTCAAAAAAAATTTTTTTGGGGTCATTTACAGTGGTTGCGGCTGGTGTGGCGTCATATTCTGGGGCAAGTAGTGTTGTCCTTGGCGACTTCTATCTTCCTGTGGCGTCGTCCGTGTTACGTTTCGCGGCGTTTCCTTGGTCTTTTAGCAGCATTTCTCTTCGCGTTTCGGGAGTATCATCGTTTCACGCTTTGTGTAACATGGCGGCGTGGCAATCCTTTCGTGACGTATCCGTGATGGAATTTCTGGCGGCGGAATTGCTGCGGCGTTCCATGCGTTGCGTCGTATCATACTGTGGCGTCGTATGCGGCGGCGTAGCGTCTTGTCTTGTCTCGCGGCACGTTATATGGTGGTTTATCACGTCGTGGCGTTTCATCTAGCATGTTGTACGGTGGCGTCCCGTGTTGCGGCGTCATTACATCATGTTGTACGGCGTTCTGTGGCGGTGCAGCATTTCGTGTAGTGGCGTTCTGTCGTTTAGCATTCTTGCGGCGTGTTGTACGGTGGTGTATCGTGTCGCGGCGTTCTTGCGGCGTGTTATGCTTCAATTCTTCAGGCATTCTAGTGGCAATATCTCATTGCGGCATCATCCGTCGATGCTGCGGCGTTACGTTGCGGCGGCATCCGGCGCATACAGTGGCATCCCATCGGTGCAGTGGTGACCTCATGTTACGGCGGCACTGGGCGCGTGTAGCGATAACTTCATGTTGTGGCGACGTCCCGTCGATGCGGAGGCATCCGGCACTTGTCTTTACGTTCCATGGTGCTGCGGCGACCTCTTGTCCCGGCAGCATCCGGAGCTTCTTGCGGCATCTTTATGGTGTCGTGGCGTCCTTGTGCTACGGTGTTCTAGCGGTACGGTGGTATCCTTGCGCTATGTTGGTGTCCCTGCGTTACGTTGGCATCTTGCTCCGTACTATGTTTCGCTATCGTATGATGCCATGAGCTGTTTATCTTCATTCTGGGTGCGTTGGATGGTTGTATCACGTGATACGGTCGTTGTTCCGTCCTAAATCTGTGGGGCAAATCATTGACTCAGATCTAGTCAATGGTGAGAGTGTCATTAGTAGTTTCCTCCTGGTCCAATCAGATCATTTACAGAGGATGTTATTCAGTCATTACAGATTGTCCAATCATAACACATCATCCTGCAGATCAGATTTCTCATATATAAATCATGTTGTTTACATTGGCATAATATTTAATCCTCGTCCTACACAATTTGGCTTTCATAGTACTTTAGGGTATTATGATTTACAAAGGAATCTTTAGTATAGGAGCAAATATTTGATTCTTGTCCTGGTTACCTTTGTGATGTCAAGGCAGCCTTCCTTGTATAGGTGTTTGACCTGATTACATAGTAATGTCAAGGTGGTCAAAATTTTTCCTATGGCACAGCTCCTGTATAACTTTTAATGAGAGAGGAATTGGATGACCTTTAGGCAGGATTCTTTGGAAAGAACAGTCCTTTTTTGTTAACAATCCAGTTGTTACTGCTTTTCTTTCCCTTCCCTAGTATAAATGGAAAGTCAAGGGACTCCTCAAAAATCCATGCTTAACAGTAGAATATATCCATGACATAGAGCCATTAGAGTGCCAGTTGTCAGTGCCATTTCCTCCTAATGATGCCTTCAATGACCTTCATAAGTTCAAATGACATATCCTTGGCTTTTTTGTTTTGTAAATTGCTTTGTGGTTTGGACTATCTAATTCCTGAGGCTATTGATGTGTTTGCGGTATTTGATCTAAGAATCCATATTAGTGTGTAGAGAAGTTTTAGGATACTGTTTATTACTTTAGTGAATTTCTTTTTTGACAACTGGTTTTTGAGGTCTGTAATGCCATATGTCATTTTTTCTGGGTGTGACTTTCTATTGAAGTCAAGATTGATTTTTGCCTTGTCAGTTTCTTTGAGCAGCTTGTTGATTTTAGATTTCATTTTGGACTCGATCTTTTCATATGCTGCTCTATTCTTGTGGTACTTTAAAATATGTTCTTTAGTTTCTGGTAAAATTAGACATTTTGAGCAGAGGTCATTTTGATATATGTCTGGATATCTTTTATGCAGGAGCTTTCTTGTTAGGAGAGTATCACTTGGGATTTTGTTTCTGAATACTAACAAGGAAGATAAGTTATATTTGTCTTTCTTAATTAGTAGATTATTTGTAAAAATAAGGCTTTATATAGTTTCTACTTGTAGTGTTATATTCCATATTTTTTTGACTGATAAACTGTTGATAATATCAGTAAGCCTATAAATCTGTTGCACTCTTTTGATCCATATTACTATACTGTATCCTTACATATTTTTGATTTGTAGTCCTGTAATATATTTGTTGGCTTCTATCAAATTGTTTATACATATTACTGAATTATTTTTCTGTAGATCAAGGTCTTTTTCTAATTTATTTAACTGCAGCTTAATGTCTTTTAATCTCAAAAGAGTTTTGATATAATCTACTAAATAGCTATAAGCTGTTTTGACTTTTCAATTAATATAGTTTGACAAGGATAAGTTAAGGATGTTTGTTGTGTTAAATGATATATATATATTGCTTTTTGCTGCTGCCAGGACTCCGATTATAACTAACAAGGTATTGATACATTTGTTATGTTCAGAGTAGAAGGTAATTGTTATGCCATTTGCTCTTGCAATAATATATTCGTCTTAAAATCTAGATCTATAGTAACAAAAAAACAGTTTGTCTTAAGGATTTGTTTGATATCAATAAGTATTTCATTGTTAATGTAGAGCAAAGTACTTATTGGATTTGTTCTTTTGATTGTGATGATAGATATAAGATTTAATGGTTTTTTGGAGTGCAGTTGGATTAAAATTTCTTCTGGAGCATTAGCTAAGTGATATTGGTTGTTCTTGTAGTAAGTTCATAAGGTAATAGCTTCTTGTACCAGAGTTGAAATTTTTTGTGTGCTGCTATAACACTGGCATTTAATAAAAGTTTTATTTGTATTGACAAAATAGTGTAGTCCTTTAACATTTGGATAGTTTGTATTTCAGTTATACCTGACTTTGATATAGGTAATCTAGCTGTTAAGTATAGTTATCCAAAATTTTGCTTTGATGTTCAATATACAGATGGAGAAACCTTAAATATGGCTTGAAATGCTGATATGAAAAAACCATATAGGAATGGAGCCTTTAGGTGTGGATCTAGGTGTGTATTAAATTCATGCCAGATGAGTTTATAATTTGACTGGTAAACTAGTAAATTGCTAAAGAGTTTGATGTTTTTGTGATAGAGGCCAAGAGCCTGACAGATTAAGACTTTGCCTCTGAAGGAAAATTCCAACCCAATAGATTGGTTTCTTTCTGAGTGGTTGAATTTGCACTTGGGTGGACAGACTGCAATTTTGTATTTTTTACATGTAAAGGCAGCTCTAATAATCCAGCTCTCTTGAAATTTCTCTGGACAGCAGATTGGGTATATCCATATTGCATGGCTTGCCTGAATTGATTTTATTTCTATTTCAGTAATGGCTTTAGTTTTTGGATTGCATATCTTGGTAATAAATAATTTTGACATGGTAAGCTTATGCCTGTCTGTCAGGTTGAGGAACTTGAGGCCAGCTTGTGAGTATGTGATTCTGTCTGAGTTGGTCTTCCTTACTCTGAGTTTCATCTTGATCATATTATTGACTCTTGCTTGTATTTTCATGAGTTTATGCTTGGACAGTGAGACTGAATACAAGGTATAGTCAAGTTTACTTGGTATAATCCAGTTAATTACTTGCTTGATTATTGATCCATTTCAACTTTGCTTGTTGCAGGCTGTAATAATCTGGTTTAAATTTTTGACTAGAATGTGTTTAGATGGGTTACCAGTAGTGTTTCCTGAGAAATGATTGCCAAGATAGCACATTGTTGACTTATGTGGAAGAGAGGCAATTATCGCATTGAGAACTTTGAAGGAAACATTTCTATTAGAGCTGTTGTTATCTAGTGTTGTAATAAGTGTAGTCTTGTTTGCATTGCATTTGATGTTGTTAAGACTGAGGAATAAGCAAAAGATATTAATTAATTCTTGAAAGTTTTAGTATTGAGTTTGTCATTAGAAGCATGTTATTCATATATGTGAAGATATTATATAGTATTTGTAGATGGTTTTGATAGCTGAATATGGTGGTTATTAATAGGCTATAGAAGATTGTTCATAGCAGTGAAGAAAGGGTTTTGCCTTGGTCTAGTCCTTTTGACACCTTGAAATTGTCTGTTTTCCCAAAGTTAGTTGCTATGGAAAGTTTCTGGTTATATAGAAAGTTATAAAATATAGATATCAGTTTGTTGGGGATTTTGATTCTTCAAAGTACTGCTTTGAGGCTGTCAAGATTAACTGAATTGAAAGCTTTTACAATATTGAATAAAGCAATTCAAAGTTCTCTATTGAAGTTGATAGCTGTGTTTAAGCTTGCAATAGTAATTGCTAATAGCTTTATAATACTTTGTTCTGCTAAGCCTACAAAGTTGGCTTTGAATAAAACATTGTTCTTGACAAGTACTATTGATAGCCTTGTGTTAATAATTTTTGTGAAGACTTTTTTAACTAATTCAATTAAAGATATTGATCTTGTGTCTGTGATTTTTCTTGACTAGACAATTTTTTTTGGTAGGAGAATAATTGTGAATTTCTTCCAATTTTGTGGAATCTGCTCATTGTTGAGGATAGAATTGAATAGCTTTAGAAGTATCTTCTTGGAATTGTCATCAAGGCAATTGATCATTTTGTATGTAATTCATATATTGCTGGGATCTTATTATTTGGGGTTTCATTGAACATTCTCATGAGTTTATTGTAACTAATAGATTCTTGTGATGTTTTGTAAATTTCAGTTGATATTGTTTCGATAGGTGAGTAGATTTCCTTCCATGGTGTGTCTGTTAGTATAAAACTACTTTTGATAAGTATACTTTTGAAATGGTTGTTTATGATTCACTTGATTGAATCGGGGCCATCTGTTAAGTTCTTATTTTCATCCTGTATTATGTTTAGATTCAGAAAGGATTTAATATTACCCAATACTCTTTTTATAAAGCTTTTGGATCTTTTCCAAAACTTAACTAAATTATTTGTAATAGCTTTATGGATTTGCTTTACTTGTTACTTCTTAATATCATGTAGTCTCTCTTTAATTAATATGCTTATTAAGTGGTTTAGTAACTTTTGAAAGGCTGGAACATTTCCATATATTTTTTGATGAATAGATGCTATATGTTTCAGAAGAATAATTACTGTTTGATTTGATAGGTTTCACTTTTTTTCTTTGTTTAGAATTCTTTTAATATGTTGATTATCTTGAAATATTTGATACATCCTAACTCTTTGGCTTTATACAATTGTGGTTTTACTAGAGAGAAATTGCTTTTGGTGGTGCTGATTAAAATATAACTGAAGTTAAGTCAGGAAGGGCAGGCTGTCATGGACATTTTGAGGTCTACTTCTTTTTTAAAGCTGGCTTTTTGCTAGTCAGTTGCTTTTTTCCAGTCGAATATCTTTGTTTAACATCCAGGAGCTGCCAGTCTGTATTCAAACCAGTCAAGAATTACTTGAACTTGCTTGTGATCTGTGTTGATTGATGATGAAGTAAAGGTTTTTGCATCTAGAACTTTAGATTCCAAGTAGTTGGTGCATCAGACATGATCTGTTCTCGACACACTTGTTTGGGTTATATACTGTATATATACTCATTCTTTTTGTTCATTGCTTTGACAATGTCTAACCAATCATGTAAGTAGTTATAAATTTTTCATTTTGTGTTTGTTGTTGGGGCATTGATGGCTAGTATTCCTGACAGATATGTGTTAAAGTCTCCTACTATTATTTGGTGTATTAGCTTTTTGAATTTTTTTATGAATTTGATTAATAATTGGGTTACTATCTTTCTTTCATTGTATTTATGTAATAGATATATGGAAGTAATAAAAATGTCAATTTTTAATTTAAACTTGAGGTGGACTGCACATCAGTATTCATTTTCAGTAAATATTTCAAAGATATGATTGCTTAGGTCCTTTTCTATTATTAGGCAGGAACCATTTTTTAATGAGCTAGATGATGTGCTTGAGATGATTATCCTATTGTTAAGCTTCTTGGGAAGAGAGTTTTGTTCTAAGCAGCACAAAACGGTTCTGTCATTTTTAAGGTCCTGGAATAGTACTGTTAATTTGCTTCTATTATTTAATCCACAAACATTTAGGATTGAGATATTAAGTAGGTTTTTAATATGGGCATTAGAAAAATTTGGTAAAGGAGTCTGTTATATATATGTGATATAAATTATTTGCTATTGACTCAACTCCCAAAATCCTCAAAAATAATTGCATCATGACTCAATTATTTATATGTTTTAATAGTGACTCAATTAATTGCACTAAATAATTGTGTCAATTGTGTCAAGAATCTATGAATTTTAGCAACATGTATAGTCTATTGTGTGTATTATTAGCGGAGAACTGATATGGGGTGTGATCGCACAAACATATTCTGGCATGTCACGTACCCTGATTTGCAATAATCTGGAACCTATAGTCTATAGTGACATGTAAAAGTAATGATGTAATTTTAGGAAGCTTAAATTAGCCATAACTTTAAAAAGAAAGCTTATTGATTACAAATAATCTATCAAAGCTTAAGGGGGATCACATGGCATAATTGTAGCTTAGCAAGAGTATATGAAATAAGATAAAAAGGAGGAACTGAAAAAAGGAAAGAGTCACATAGTACGCAGTACGAAGAATAAGAGAAAAACTGTTTCCTAAATTAAAATCTTCTTAATTAGGACATGTGTTTATCATTGCCAAACCAAGTAAAAACTAATTAACTTACTTAATTCAGTACTTGTCGTGAGATAGAACAGCTGAGACCACAAAGGAAAAAGTGGTAAAGATTTGTCAAGAGAAGTGAACAATGGAAAGAGAAAGAAAGTATTAGTAGAACTCAGCTAAACAACTCACACGCCTCAAGTTGAGAAGCCAAACACTTACCGGACATTACACGAAAAGTGCTTAAGAGAAGCAACAGACTCGCTGAGAGAGATGTTAATAATATATGTTTAACGAGTGATTGAAGTTGAATAATGGTATCATTTTAACATATAAAGGAAATAAGATTGAAGCCAGGCTCTAATAGATCTTCAGGGCAATGTAATTCTCTGGTAGTCTGTCAAATGTATACTTTTTATGTAATTGTGCAATTAATGAGGGTAGGTTTTTATTATTCATACTCTTTTTGATGGTTTACTTTTAGAAGGTCATTTTTGATAAATAATCTAAAGAAGGTCTTATCTTTTAGTAGGATTTGGTAAAAATTGCTAGATGAGGTTCTTGTATGACTATTTCTTTGTGGTATTTTTGATTTTCACAAAAAGGTTAGCTACTGCTTTGGCATTGCTATGGCAGACTGAGAGTTGTGATGCTAGATTGTTAATGAAAGGTTTATTACTATTTGTTATGCATGTAACATTGGGGTCATCTATTGGATGGCTGTTTTCTAGAAGTATTTCAGTTATTCTGTTTTTTCTGTTATTTGAAGGCAAGGCTGATTGTGGATTTTCTAATGAGTTTTTAGTGAATAAGAAGCTGTAGGGTTGTCAGAATCTTCATCTAAGCTTGAATCATTGAATAACCAACCGATTTCAGCTTCCTCAAGTATTTTTCTGTTTTTAATTTGGTCTGGTGTCAATTCATGAGTGTCTAGTTGAATGGGAGAAGTGTTTTTTTGCAGGTTGTCTAGCTCTTCTTGTACTTGACGGTCAAATTTTATGAGGGAGCTGGTATTACCAATAAGATTTGTGGTATTTAGAGACTATATTGATATGTCATTATCAGAGCAGAGACTAGTAAGTCTGATTGTGCTTCCAGATTTATCATGTTGATTGTCAATAGTAACCGCATAGTGAAGATTGTCTACTTGCATCATGTCACCTTGATTATACGTATCATTGGTGTTTGATGCTATGTAATCTGTTGTATTAGTTGCACTTGTCTGCTTCTAAGCTGCAGGAGGTGCATATGTATTGTTACTGATTTTTGCCATTTTGAGCTTACTCATATTCAGTAGATTAATGGAAGGGAGTAAGCTACTTGAGGGTTTTTTTGGAATTTGAGATAGAAGTTTTTTTTTTCAGAATTTTTAGTGGGGTTTTGTTCAGTAATTATTAGTTTCTTATCCTGTATTGACATATTGGGTGATGTGTAAGATAGTGTGTTCTGAATTTTTTCTAAACTAAATCTTTTATTACTTTTAATAATGTTAACTTGGTTTTATAACAGGTGAAAAGTATAGTTGAAATTATTGTCTAGGACTTTCTTTGCAATAGTCTCCCTTATGTTTAGGACAAGATTATTCTTCTTCTGATACTGAAAGAAGTTATTGAGATTGTTTTGGGTGTTGCTTTTACAGTTGTTAATAGTTAATGAAGCCATAATATGTGATTGAGGAGAGGTAGAGTCAGTTATTACTTGTTTGAAGCTGATAAAAGCAGTGTTCACTTGTAAAGAGTTGTTGTTATTTGGGTTTTGCAGAGAAATAATCCAGAATTTGAAGAAGTCAATTGGAATTAGAATGGATACATTTTTTGCTGATTTAGTAATTTGAATATTGCTTGAGTTGCTTTTCTTGTATATTACAAAAAAAAGCTGTTTATTGAGATTTGTTACTATAATGTCCAAAAGAATATGAGATAGGCTTGATGGTTTGCCCTTGGAAGAGAAGTTTCCAAGAGTACTTGTTGTTTTGCTTCTTCTAATAATTTTGTTAGTTACTAAAAAATGAAATTTTTGAACAGTACAAAATTTTTGGGAAAGAGTTTTTATAATTCAAAATATATTTATATTATATTTTTTTTAATTATTTGTATTTTAATTAAAAAATTTTTATATTGAAATTTTTAAATCTCTCTCTATATATTTTTTATATATTGTTAATTATATATATATTAAACTAACTAATATTATGTATAATCATTATTAATTAATCTTTTTTGTAAACTATAATTTTATTTTAATTTTTTTTAAAATAATTTTTGTAAAAGTATTTTAATTGTTAAACTATTAAATACAATATTTGAATTTTGATTTTTTGAAATTATTTAAATATTTTTTTCTTTTATAAATTTTTTAATGGTAAAGTTTATAAAAATATAATACAGTTATATACTATATATAAACTATTTAAAGAGATTGTTTATACTTCAGATTTTTTTAAAAAATTTATTAATAATATATTATTAGTTTTGAATTTACTTTTTTTAATATTTTTTTCAAATAATATAGTAATGTCAAAAATAGTTTTAATTAATTTTAAATAAACAATTATATTATAATTTTTATATGTACAGTTAGTATATTTAAAAATATCAATTATTTTATAATTAAATTAATAAATATACATTTTTTTTTTAAAAAAAAAATTGAATACAAATATTGTAATATAATTTATTAATTACTATATTATAGATTTAAAAATTTCACTTTTTTAATTTTTATAATTATTATAAAATATAATAACAATAACAATAATATTTTAATTTATTTACTTTTAATTTATTACTTTAAAAATAAATAAATAATAAATTAATATATAAAAAAAGCAAGTTAATATAATTCAATATATATTTAAAATAGTTTATAAATAGTAATTATTATAATATAAGAAATATATATATATTAAATAAAGGTATATTAAACAAAACCTATCTAATTGCTTTAATAAAAAAAATAAAAATAAAAATCTTGAATATTTTTGTTAACAATAAAATAATAAAATCAAATAATTTATTTATTAAAATTAATTTAAAAAATGTTTATTTATTAACATAAATCAAATATTATATTGTATATACTGCATATATTATATATTTAAATAAGCAATAGTTTTTTTATTAATCTATAATTATATATCAAAAAAAAAGTAAAAGAATTTAAAGAATTTTAAAGAATTAATATTATATATATTATTAAAATTTATAACTTTTTGAATATAATTAATTGAATCATTATTAAAATATATAAATTATTATTATTATAATAAAATAAATAAATAATAAAAAATATAATAAAATAAATAAATAATAAAAATTAATTATAAAAAAATAAACAAAACTTATTATTAATTCAATTAATTTTGAATTTTGAATTTATTTTTATATACAGTATTTATAAGTTTTTAAATATAAAATTGATTTGAAAATAAAAAAAAATTTTTAAATCAATTTAAATAGCATGCAAAAAAAAAAAAAGAAAGAAAAACTTTTTTTAATATTTTTATAATTAATTTTGTAACATATAAATAACATGTTTATTCTTATAATTATTATTATTAGAATTTTTAATTTAAACAGTGATATGATAGTTTTAAAAAACTAGAAATTGCAAGCCAACAATATATTAAATAAAAATAATGATCATATTAATTAGAAAAATAGTTAATATAATATTGTTTTATAAAACAAATGCTATATCTATTATTGAGAGATTAATAAATATATGACATTTTTAAAAATAGTATATTTTATTTTACGAATTGTTTTTAAATAATTTTCATAAAATGATTTTTTTAGATATTAAATATTACTTTTTTTTAATGTGTTTTTTGATATATGGCACTTTATATATATATTTTTATTTAAAAATATCTAATAATTTGTAAATACAATATATTGCACGATCAATTAACGCCGTTTGATTGATGAATTATGTGTTGTAAGTAATTCAGCGTCGTAATAAATATATTTTATCGAAGGTTATACGTATATGCAATACATTAAAGGTAATAAAGAAAATATTATTGAGTGCAATAGTTGAAATTATTTGTAAAATTCGATTGAAATTGTTTTACAAATGAATTTTGCGTAAAAATGAAAAATAAATAAGTGGTTTGTTTGTGCTTTAATAAGTATTAGATGAACTAGATAAAAAACAAACAAACAATAAGATTATTCATGTATTGATTTATGCAATTATAAAATACTTTAATTGGATGTTTGGTGTGAAATAAATTATTTAACAAAAATAGTTTACAAATATGTAAATTAATCTAAAATTACAAAAAAAAATGTTTTTTTACTCAATTTATAAAATCAAGGTTGACCTTGATGGAAAAAAAAAGTTAATATAGAATATTAATTATTAAATGTTTTTGTAACTACAAATTTACCTTTTTATTATTATTATTTTACTAGTGTACAAATATTAATATTATTAATTACACACCGATCAACGGCCATTGCACTGCAATTTCCAGAATTACGGAAAGAAAAATTAGAAGTTATTGAAATCAACCAGACCATTATCCTCGATGGAAACGACCAGTGTTGCATGATTAACGCCTGTGATTGCCTTTCTGACCAGTTCGCTGGGTATATATTCAAGATCACCACTGTCATCTCTAATGGCAAAATGTTTCCCGATTGGTGGATTCATACCGAATGCAAAAAACATTAGCTTATCAAACGTTGTGTCTTCTGTTACTACCAGATTTCTTTTGTAGACCCTCGATCTGGATTTTATAGTGACGGTCAGGGTATCTGTCAAGTTTTAAGACAATAATTAATAAGTTATAAGAAACTCTGTAGATAAGTCATAATCATATGTGACTTGATTGCGGCCACAATTTGTATAAGTGCATCATCATTCGGAATCTCGATACCTATATTTGATGCAGATATTTAAAATACAATGATAAGTAATTACCACTAAAATCGCTTTTGGAAGTCGTGGAGCTTTCATCGGTAGGGCTTTCATAATATTGAACTATATTGTGGAAATAACATTAGATATGTGCCGTCATACAATAACATGCACGAGAAAAATATAGATTGTGTGAATTTACATTGATTATTTGGAGTATCACGAGCATTTTCCTCCAGTTTGGAAGGAATAAATGGGGAAAAAAGTTTTCCGTTTTCAGAGCGCCATTGATCTAAGTTTTAAGAAAATATTAGTATTACGAAAAAGATAAAAATGTAGCTCTAGATAATCACCATTGCTATTGCTGGGCGTGACAATTTCATCAGTCGCAATGAGGTTTCCCTCAGGAATTCGAGCGATGATTGGTGCAAGACCACTGTCTATTATGAAAGAAGAAAAATCGACGTGTTATTTTAAGCGAGTAGTACCATATATATAATGCAACAAAAAGGAGCGTAGGTGACGATAATTACGATCGTGAGTTGCTTCCTCATTTTCTGGATGCCAGAATGGCGAAACAAGTTTTCCCTCACTGTCAGTGTACCATTCGGCTATTTGATCTGCCACAAGAAAAATAAAAGCATTACATACTTGATACCATTTGACAACTTAGCAAATTAATGATATTTACTATTATTATAAATTTCAGTTTCTGTTCCACCTACGATCTCAGCTAACGTAGGTTTGCTCGGGAACAAGATTCCGTTTGGGATTTGCCATTGATCTATATTGCAAGAAGAAGTCGCCTTTCATGAATATCATGTACATCATTTAACAACATAATCACAAGAAAAAGAAAGAATTAATTAACCGAGATAGTTTACTATTGTATATTCCAGCATTTCTACTCAAACATACTGTGTTATAAGTAAAATGTTAAAATATGTAATATCTTAGAAGCAAGCTAAGCATAAAATTTATGCATACCATTGTCATGACTTAAATACCCCATATACGGCGAGGGGGCTGGGGTATCGGGAAAATACCGTTGTGCTACATCGGGAGTAAATTTACAAAGCTTCATATCGACATATAGAATAGAACAATTTTCAAATTTCAAATTACTAGTTACAATTACATACTCATTGCCTTTAAGTTATTCATAGCTTCTTTAATAATGGGATTGAAGTTGTGATCCCAACCATGCCCCTTCTCGATGTTACAAGCACGAATGTGCTGAATATACTGCTCCAAAGTGCCGTGTTTTATTTTATCTTCGAGCTTGGAATTAAGATATTCTTTCAGATGTTCTTTGGTGACAGGAAAAATATTGGCATTCGGATGCAGTTCCTTAAGAACGTTTGTATAATTTTTTACTCCAGATTTTAGTTCTTTAATAATAGTTTTCGAATTCTTTGGCATTATCAAAAGGATTCAAAATTGAAATAATGCTGCACGTTCTTTTAAATAAATAATCAATAAATTCTTTACATGCATGTTAAAAAAAAAACAATTTTGAAATCAAGAATACTGTAGTACGTACGTACTTATATATGTTGATAATCCGATAATCTAGAGAAGGCGCAATTTATTTACCAAACATTCTTTTAGGCGTACATACATGTATATATTTTCATTAATTAAATGAATTTCTATAGTATTTTGTTTCTTTTTTTTTTTTGTGGATATCGTTCACGTGCATGTATAAAAGCATTTTGGAAAAATGCGTGAATTATAATGGTCGTATTTGTTTCTATTTTAGGGTGGGAAAAGATTCAACTCACATGAAACAAATTTGCAGGGGTATAAATCATTGCAGCTTTAAAAATATGAATTGGTTCTAAAGCGCGTCCAACAGTTTTTAAAAATTCCATCGTTAACTGCAAGCAAATCAATAGTTTAAGGTATAATTCGCATGTGCGCATACCTGCACTGTAAAACGAACATGACAAGAAACAAATTATTTCTATCAAATGATTCTGTATAGTAATTTAAATTTTAATCATAAAATAAATACATCATTATTGAAAACAAAATTGAATTGACAATATACACATACTGTAGATACTGTATATACTGTATATACAGTACATAACTTGTATTATTTTATTGATGTCAAATTGCAGACCAGAAACAGAAAATTCCGTCAGTCCCGTTGAATATGCCCTAAAAATAGACTTCCTTCATTCTATCCAAATAAAGAAAAAAGATGTTTCAGAATAAGGTTATGCAAGTCATTTGAGATGTCCTGAGTTCAGATTCTTACATTGTTAAGCGGTTGGGGTATCAAAAAAAATGTTTAAAATTCTGTATGCATACGTACGTACGCACCTCGTGATACGATCACCCTGAATAAGAAATCGATATGATGCCATATAAAGTAATTTAAAAATCCATTAAGATTATTATTTTCTTTCATCAAAATAATTAATAAATTTTATTTTTCATTTTTAATTACAATATAATGATACAGTATATTGTTAAAAAAGTTAAAAATATTTGCAAATAAATAAAAATTTTTCTTATCAATTAAACCTTGACGAAAATTTATTTGTCATAACATTCTTATCGAATTTTTAATTTTTCTTTTTTTAAAAAAAATTTTTTTTTTTTATAAAAAGATAATTTATATGTTTGTGAAAATTATTAATTTAGTTAAAAAAAATTTTTTTTTTTTTTTTGATCAAATTAATAATATATCAATACTACGTATAATCAATTATTATAATATAATAATCAAATTTAATTAAATGAAAAAAATTATATAATAAAGCAATAGAATTTTGTTATTTGATTTCTAAAATAATTACAATTTTTTTTTCACACAATACGGCGTAATGTTGGATATTTTTTTTAAAAAAATATCTTTGTTACTTTTTTTTTTTTCAACATTAAAATTAATTATTTTTAAAATTTTAAAAAATTTTCTAAAAAATAATTTGAATGCTAATGTGATGGCAATTTACCCATTTGCAATTTGTTATTGGGCATGACTTACCAAAATGGTGTTCCGAATCTCATGCAGCTGACGCAAATTTTTCGGAAGCTAATCAAACCTAATCAGATAACACAATATCTTGTCAATGATATATCTAAATATGTGTGTACGAGATAAACAAAAAAATGAATTGCATCGTGCGTAATCGTTTAAATCGAACGAATTACTTACGAATGCACCTAGCTCTCTTAGATTATCAACAAAATAATAAAATAAAAAATATATATTTTTCCAATTGCTTCGTTTCGATTCTTAACGTATAACCATATGCTATATTCGTCCTCCCTTATTTCTGAAGTGCGAAAGAATTTATTTTTTTTTATTTACGGTATTATTTTTTTTAAAATTTCTTGGCATGATAAGATAGAATGATAACCACTAAATTGTCTTATCATTATCTCGTAGACAACGAATTTATCTTATCACCTGGAACATTTAACACAAAGAAATTGCGCGTAACCGATGATGATTTTATTCCGGTTTGTTATACCAAGCTTTCTCTTTTTGTATAGTGAATGAAATTCTATTAAAAAGAATACGCCCTTTCAGTGTAACGAGAATTATTCCAAATGTTATTACGAACGCATTCCAATTCCTTCGGATAATAAAGACCAATGTTATACAGAAAACCACAAAACAGATATATGTATTGCATATAAAAACGTGTGGTATTAGTTGTCAATTTCACAATGACTTTTTTGCAACGTGGCAAAACCAAACAGCATTCTTCGGTATCGTGACGCCAAGATGAAAATGTAGAAAATTTTTCGGTTTGTATAATACTGTAGTGGTTTGTTTACACACGTGTTACGTAAATTGTGCATTATTGCGTATGCAAGCATTACGAAAGCAAGCATTGTGAAAGCAACGCATGCTCTTGTCATTGTAGTTTTAATAAAATTGCCTAATGTGTTTTTTTTAAAAAAAAAAAAAAAAAAATTTTTTTATTTTTTGTGCCCATTTTTTTATTATTATTAAACGTTATTATTTATGATTTTACGTACAATTTAATATTAATCAAACCATTATATACTGTATATACCGCACGCGTATAAATATATTTGAATAAACTTATTTCGGCATATAAATTTGCTAAATAAGAATATTTTACATGCGGCACATTTAATTGTTTGAAAAAAATTAATTGTTATGGTCAAATATATTTTAAAATTAATTAGTCAACTTTTGTATACCGTCTCTTATATTCTAAAGAATATTTGGATTTGCTAAATTTAACTTGGATATAATAGAAATAATTAAATATTAATATTTTAAAAAAATTTTATGACTGTCTTAATATTGAAATTAAAAGATAACCATAAACAAATTTATATTTCTTAAATAATAATAATAATAATAATAAAATATTCCGAAATATTGATTTTATTAAAATAATTTAAAAAAACATCACAAGATAATATAATAATTTGATATAGTTACATTATAATTCTTTGTTGTTTTCTTTTATAATATTTTATATTTGAATTAATTATAATGTATCTTACTTTAATTATTTACTGTATATATAATTATTATTTTGTACAAAGAATTAACTTAAAATTTGTTTTTATTACATTGAATTAAATATTAAAAAAATTTTTATCCATAAGAAAAAATGTAATATTATTTAAAATATTATTACATTAATTATTTTGAACTGTTAACAAAATATGTATTATTAATATTTCTGCAAATTCAATTTTATATTTAAAAAAAACTCTTTCCCGCCAATTAATTTTTTATCAAAAATTTCCTTATTTGATAATAGTTTTTTCAAGAAATTCTTCAAGTTCAAAGTGACTTCAAGCACACCCCACCTTTAAATAACTTCTATTATGGAGCACTCCACTCCAAACAATAATAAAAAAACAGTTTCTATATACAACTATTCACTAGAATTAGAATCAACTTTTTTAAATTTTCTATTTTGACCTTTCTAATAATCAAATTATCAAAACAGATTTCTCAAGAAACTTTTTCATTTCAAATTTCATCAACCTTTCCAACCAATTTCTTATTATAAAAAGAAAAAAATCATAAAATAAATTATTGAAACTGGCTTTATAAATAATATATGAAGTATTAATTTTATAATTAAAATTATTAAAAAAAATAATAAAAAAAAATACTTTCAAATTTGTATCAAGCTATCAAATACAAAAAAAACATTTCTCTCAACTTTAAATACATTAATATCATAATAAAAAAAATAAAAAAAACTTAATTTAATATTAAACTCTACAACTGCCTACAAGAATTTCTTTCTTCTTTATAGAAAAAAACAAAAAACCTTACTTAGCTTGCTCCTGAAAATAATTTATCATCTATTATTTCTCTTGTTTTCTAAAAAAGAAATATTGCTTAATCAACTTAAATACATATATATGCAGACTTCCTAACTATTAATTCAGTCATATCCAAATATGTCAATTCTAATAAAATTAGTGAAACAATAGATGAACCAATAAAACTATCTAATTTATATTCTCTATCTACAAATCCTTCACAACCAAACACCACTTACAATCAACCAATTACCAACTTATCTGACAATTCTATTACTATATTCAACTTTATAAATATCAGTGAAATAAAACTTACAAGTTAATTACAATTTATTAACTTTGAAAACATTATTGATCTAAATCAACTCTTTAAATATATTGCTACTTCCAACCAACTATCCTAATTAAATACTTGATCATCTTCTTTTGACTAACAAATTCAAGAGGAATTGTAATAAATCTATGATGCAAAACAATATGAAAGCCTTCATAATAAAATAGAAACACTAGCAAACCAACTTTTTTTAGTACTTAAAAATATCTCTACAATTATCAAAATTATGGACAAAATCAAAAAATTATTCAAATACTTTCATATCATTTCCAACACATTTTCAACAAATTCAAATTCAAAAAATGTACCTTCTTTAGTTTCTTTATATCTAAAGAAACAATCAAACCAGTATACCAAAAGAAATTCAATAAAATCAAAAAAAATTTTCAAAAAAAATACAAAAAAGAATACAATCTCAATTTTATTAATTTTGAAACAAAAAAAAATCTGCATTATAATATATACAATCATTGGGAAATTTTTTAAGGAGTTATTTATTGATAGTCAATCAATAATCGCTAGTAATTGATTATAATTAATTGATATACAGTATATTAATAGTGGTGTATTATATTGATTAATATCAAAAAAAAATTGTTTATAATTGATTTATATTAATATTGATAAAGATCATATTTTATTTAATAAATAGGTTTCAATTTTTAACAATCAATGTTATATTTAATTTGAATAGTAATTGATTTTATTTGATTTGATAAATTAAAATTAAAATATATAATTATTTAATAAATATTTATTTGTTTTATCAAATCTTGAAACTATATATAGTATATGCTTTTATCAA